TATATATATATAAACATATGAACTGATAGATATGTCTGAAAATATTGAGATATATATATGATGAACATACTGATAGACAATGAACATATTAACATAGATAATGAACTTATTGAGATAGATTGATAGATAATGAAAATATTTAAATAGAAAATGAACATTTTGAGATAGATAGATAGATAGATATATAGTGATATATATATATTTTCTTTTATATGATGTTTCCCTTTAGAACGTAGGTGATCATGGCCCTCCACTTCTTCCATTCTCTTGTAGCTATTTATAACGTTTATGTTTTTGTTATTTCTCCGAAACACATAAATTATGTTTCGCGCTGAGTTTCTCTCTCTCTATTTTAACTAAACAACGCCTTTATCCACTGTGCTATGTGTCCTTGAGATCCAGTGACAGGACCCAAAGAGTGTGAGTTCAATACCCGGTTAAGGCAGTGGAGAACTTTCAGAGAGAAATTTAACAGGAGATAACTGATAACTGACATCCATCAAACATGACACGTGGAACTAGAACAGTCTACCCCAGCGAGCGAAATAAAGGGTTCAGTTCGACATTTCAACCACTTGAAGAAGGCCGGAGCGTACAACGGCCGAAACGTTGTGATAAATATGGTGAAAAGATGAGGACAATAGTCCGAATAATGTAAATAATGTACACTCTTTCTATTTCTGCACATTTTTTCGTTGATCCATTCTTCTTTAGCCTGTCTGCATTTGTTCCTTGTGTAGTTTTCTGTATTCTCTTCCGTGTCTTGTCATTGTTTTCTCTCTGTTTTGCATCACGTCAAGAATCTCATTTGTCAACCATTCGTTTTTTGTTTTTTTTCGTCTACGTCTATTTTCTTTTGGGATGATCTGGTTTGCCGATGTCACTAAAGCTGCTTTTAGTGTGTCCCACTTCGAGTTTCCAATTTGACTCTCATATCTTCATTTCCCATTATCCATATATTTTTTTCCTCGACGTTTGGCTTGATCAGGAATGTGTTGTGTTTCTAGTTGGGTGCTGTGTTTGTCTTCTTCAAATTCCGTAGTTTCATTCTTAGTTTATATATAACAGAGAGGTGATCGCTTCCGCAGTCCGCAGTTGAATAGTTTTTGCAGTGCATCCTGAATCCCTTGTTGAGGATTATATAGTAGATTTAGTTGCTTGTGTTTTTGCTCCTGGGCTTCTGCATCTCAATAATAATCTTGGGTATTCTTGGAGCCATGTTTTGTCTATTACGTGGTCATACGCCGTACATCATTCGACCCAATGTTCTACGCGTTCGTTTCGCGTTCCTAGTCCGAATTTGGCAGCTATCTCACCTACCTTCTCCCTGCCTACTTTGACATTCAGAACTCCAGTGATAACTATAATTTCTTGTAATTTACACTGAGCCATGGCGTTCTCTAGCACGGAGTAGAATGTTTCGATTTCTTCTTCCGTGCTTTGCGTTGTCGGTGCATACACAATTAAAATAGTTATGTTAAAAGGCTCTCCTTTCAGTTTAATGAAATATATTTTTTCCGATAGATGACAATATTCCAGAACGCATTTCTCCATGTTTTGATATAATATCAATGCAATTCCTTTTTCATTTCACTCTTCGCCTGCATATATAATCATTGGCAAAATCTCCGTTGTTTAACCACCTAGTTTGTGATTTACACTGAGCCATGGCGTTCTCTAGCATAGAGTAGAATGTTTCGATTTCTTCTTCCGTGTTTTGCGCTGTCGGTGCATACACAATTAAAATGGATATCTTAAAAGGCTCTCCTTTCAGTTTAATGAACAGTATTTTTTCAGATAGATGACAATATTCCAGGACGTATTTCTCCATGTTTTGATATAATATCAACTCCTTTCTCATTTTTCTCTCCGCCAGCATATATAATCACTGATAGAATCTCCGATGTTTGGCCACCTAGTTTCGTATACAACTACCCTATTTTCTGTTTTATATTTCCCAGCTGGCCACAGTTGATTAACATTCTAATGTGCCATGTCCCGAGAATTATTTTTTGTTTGATGAGAACAGCCGCTAGATGGCGTTCAGATGGCACATGTTGCACATGTCGCCCCTTACCGGACAAGGAGTTAATTCCCGTACTAAACTCCCTTCACGCCGTTAGCTTTCATATTTTATTTGATAAATGCCATTCTATTTCTTGCATTCTCCACGGTGATTTATTACAATATCGCCGCTAGTTAGCTGGCCGTTGGCCTGTCTAGTGTTTTTCCGCTCTGATAGATCTTATTGTAGCCGGTTTAATCGCCGAGACTCCGATAGTAGCTTGAGTCAGGAGTCAGGAGCTAGGGTTAGGGTTGGAACAGAGAGGGAAATAACTATTAAGTTTAACTTAGTATATATAAGAATACGCACCCTTTGTGAATGCGTCACATGTGTGTGGGGATGTAGTGGGAATTTGGCTTTGACCGAGGGAAGAACCTATCCTGCTAGCTAGGTTTGTCCATTGCTTTGGTCTTTGGGGGGGTCGGATGGGGGTTATATTAGATAGATAAATAATGAACATAGATGGATAGAAACTTAGGTATATAGATACATTATTAAAATAGATAGATAGATAGATAGATAGATAGATAGATAGATAGATAGATAGATAGATGAACATGAATATATTGACATAGATAAATGTGGAACAGAGTGAGATAGATAGATAGATAGATAGATAGATAGATAGATAGATAGATATGAATATATTGAGATAGATAAATGTGGAACATAGATAGATAGATAGATAGATAGATAGATAGATAGATAGATAGATAGATAGATAGATAGATATGAATATATTGACATAGATAAATGTGGAACAGAGATAGATAGATAGATAGATAGATAGATAGATAGATAGATAGATAGATAGATAGATAGATAGATATGAATATAAGGAGATAGTTAAATGCGGAACAGAGTGAGATAGATAGATAGATAGATAGATAGATAGATAGATAGATAGATAGATAGATAGATAGATAGATAGGCCGGTAGGTAGTACTTAAACACACGCGCCATTACTTCCATCGAAAGAGGAATGTTTAAGAGAAAATGAGAACAAATAGACCCACAGAATGATTAAGAGAAATAGGTATCTAATATTTCAAGAAATACATGAAAGCGAGATCAGGTTCCGTGATCGATAAATATCGAAGTTCTTTTTTTGATTTATGTGACATTTAGTCAGACTCTCGAGATTTAAGTAGCTTTTTTAAAGAGCATTGTTTCCCGGTGAAACACGTATTGTTTTTATGAGAGGTGTTTTCACAATGTTCCCGAACTGCGAATATTGTGCTTGTACGTTTTACGAAAATGAACCTGCGTCTAACACGCATTGGTGCACAGACGACTGAGTCAATTTGCTAAAAGGCAATTTACTACCATATGTTTTTGTACGTTTTATTATGTAAGTAGTTTTTGGTAATATTCTTACTCCAACGACCAGGCGAATATCTACGAAGGGTGCGAAGTTCGTGTAAACTCGCCAGCATTAGAGTTTCTGTGTCGATTTACTGCTGAAATAACTAGATATAACCCTAAGGTCTATTTTACTATTTTTTGTCTCGTACTGTTGTCTTTAATTATTGTAGCATATCTGTTTTTTTCTCCAAATAGCAGTAGTCACTAGCTCACTGGAAAACTAAGTGAAAGCATAATTACTCATTTTCGCATTGTAGCCCTTTCTATCTATCTATCTATCTATCTATCTATCTATCTATATCTATCTATATATATATATATATATATGTGTGTGTGTGTGTGTGTGCGTGCGTGCGTGCTTTGGGTCCTGTGACTGGATCTAACCAACGCCTTTATCCCCTGACAGGACACAATGAGTGTGAGTTCAATACTTGGTTAAGGCAGTGAAGAACGTGGAGAGGGGAATTAACAGGAGATAACTGATAACTGACATCCATTAAACATGGCACGTGTAACTAGAACAGTCTACCGCAGTGAGCAAAAAAAGGGTTCAGTTCGACATTCCAATCACCTGAAGAAGGCCGGAGCGTACAACAGCCGAAACGTTGTAATAAATATGGCGACAAAGATGAGGACAATAGTCCGAATAATGTAAATAGTGTACATGATACCTCATCTCAGAAATATAGACAGATACAAAAAGATAACTTGTTATAACCGACGCCTTTCGTACTCTGAGGGACTTTATCAAAGAAAATGCGACGATTTTGTTTTGTAATAAGTATTTATAGACAAGAGCAAAATTGTTATAGGTTTTTTCACATTTCTTAAGTATATGAACCCTCATAAATATTCATCAGGTGAGACGAAATGTCAGGTAACTTATGGAGTCTTCAATGTGTAATAAACGAAGTGAGTACATCGTTATAAAATATAGTTTTATATATATATATATATATATATATATATATATATATATATATATATATATATATAATGAATGAACAGTAAGATATATAATCCGGTGTTTTTATAGATATTTTTATTTTTACAAAATAGTACTCAATGTAAATTTACAGAGCATTAATATTATAAATTTTATTGATTTAAAATATGGTTTACCGCTACACAGTTCTAACCATGTTTCAAAAAGCTAAAAATTTCGAATATAATTTTGTAATTAAATTAAAGACATTAGTTCCATTACATCCTCAAGCGAATTTTGGAATCCAAAAAAATTGTCTTTAATTTAATTACAAAATTAAATTCGAAACTTTTACCTTCCATTTTTGAAACATCGTTAGAACTGTGTAGCGGAAAAACCTTATTTTAAATCAATTATATATATATATATATATATATATATATATATATATATATATATATATATATATATATATATATATATATCGATTGATGTGCTCAATATCAGGCATAGAGTATATGTAAATAGAAAAGTGTATGTGTTAGATGTTGGTTCTTATGAGAATCTCATCTAACCATTGACACTCAACTCCTCAGCAGAAAAACCGGGTTCGAGAGTAGGTGCAGGCGCCAACAACCTATCCATGAATCATGTTGTACTCTCTTACGATTCTTCTATCAGTAGAAGGCGTAATGTTGACCCAACCCATATTTAAAAATATTATTTTCTGAGTAAGTCCAACTATTTATAAATGTTTCACTTTTTTCACCTTATTCTGCGTTTAGGTGAACAAACCAATATTCATTATTAGCAGATCTTCATACTTTTCTGTACTTTGGTGATATCTGGCGATATTCCACGAGCTGTTGTAATCAAATTGAACATTTTAATGTCACTTGAATTTGCAGTTTTCATTCTGTTCTAGCGATACCAGTTTGTTTATATACAATAGTCAAAATGCATTTATTTGTATGATTTCGACTGGATTTCCTTCCTACTATCTATTTATTTTGTATTTTTTTTTAACTATTTGCTTTTTTAATCTTCTATTACACAGATAATTTGAAAAAGCACAATGCGAAAACCTATTTTATCTACTAGGTAAACTCGACTTATTTGAGAAAGTTGTTACAATCATCTGCAACATTTCCGGGAAGCAAAAATAGAACGAGGTGTAACCAATCGAGCGTTAACTCACCTGATTTATTTTAGCTTTATAGAGATCCTTAGCCTTCTAAAAGAGCAGACCGTTTTTAACTCGGCGGCCATTTTAACTCGGCGGCCATTATAGTAGCAACATAAGTTAGAAGAATAACACTTTCGTGGTGGCAAACTCAGATGGAATAAAAAAAACATAAAACATCTTGGAGAATGTAGCATATAGATTGAAAATAAAATGGCCAATAACCACACAGAGATAGAAAGTATAGCCTAAGTAAGAGAATCAAAAAAATAATGTTAAATTCTAAATGAAGAAATCAGAATCAAGAAAACACTTTAATTTAACAGTATAATAACCTACTAAGGAATGTGTGCATCGGAATCTCGAAAGTTGCCTTTCTGAAATCAAGCAAACTATTAAAACATCGGAATATTTCTACATCATATACATTATATCTATGCCCCTGTGTAGCAGTGAATGCTGGAGAATATTCCTTCAGAGTAAGAAGTGATACCAAACGACAGGGAATTTTTTTCTACCAACGGATTCTGAGATTTCCATGGACACAACATATGAGCAATGAAGAAGTTCTAAAAATAGGAACTCGAAAGACATATTAAAATAAAAAGGAGACTGTTAGAAATTCAGGAACAACAATATGAGGAAGAAGGGTTTCGTAAATATAATACCCACAGGAAGTACTAAGAGAAGGAGGTGTAGAATGTAAAAGCGAGAAAATGATTTAATGTGTTTCGGCGAATTGATAGCTGAGTAGAGAAAAGTATGGATGGTAGAGTCAAATATTGCTGAGGTTTACAACGGAGAGGAAGTTGTGGAGAGCAATGATCGGTACATAAAAATGATGGTTATTTATTATTATTTATACTATGATTATTTGGACAATTATTCTAAGCTTTGTTATTGTTATCACAAGGCTTCGACCGTTGCGTCATTCTGGCATCATTAAGTGAATGGAGAGTAGATTTTTGACGTTCCGCAGCCCATGACTAAGGATATAGGCTAGTTTATTTTCGGTACTGCTCAGGTATTGCACGCTTCTATCCATTGAGTCAAAACTATCCGGCCCAGGGATTGAACTCACAATTATAATGCCACCAAATTCAGGAACCAATGTTAAATGCAATAGGCTAAGGGCTGATTGTACTTAAATAATGATAACTCCTTCTCACAGAAAAGCTATGTCATTTTACTGTTTGCTATTGAAAAACGGTTGATACTAGGTTTTCTCAAATATATCGAAATCTTTTAAATTGGATAATAAAAATTAATTGACTCATTGTTAGTATCTCGCCTGTAAAATTCAATTATTATTTGGCGATCGGAGAAAATTAGGTTGTTGAACACACTGATCCGAATTCGCTCAACGAAGTTAAGCTTTGTCGAAGCCGGTTTGTAGATTGATGAGAGACTGCTTGTGTATACCGACGTCTACAATCAGAAATAGGTTTCGTCTTTAAATAACCCACAAAAAGTTGTTAAACTTAAACTTTAAAAAAGTAATCAGTTAATCAAACAGAAATTGATAGCAGTAATTAATTTAGATATAACTAGCATTAATTTTGAATTTTTCGCAAGAATTTTTTATCCCTAAATATTGAATGAGTAAAATCACCTACAGAAATACATCGATGGTTTGTTGGAAATATATGCTTATTGGACGGGTTTACAGGATTACAACCAGTAAAAGCCGGAAAATAATTTTAATGAGAGTGTATCGCCATGAGCATGTTAAAATCCATGCATTTCTACAAATTCATACGAAATTGGAATACCTTTTGTTAATACGCTTTTGCCCCAAAATTATATATATATATATATATATATATATATATATATATATATATATATATATATATATACGAGGGTCATTCAATAAATAAGGTGAATCTTTTCGTTATAAGGACTTCTAATACAGATAGAAGCTTACTTTTTTTTTATTTTTCAATATTGTCTCCCAGCACT